GGCACCCTGTATAGTTGCACATCATCAATACACAAACGGTCGGGTTAGCTGTGTTGTGCCCGTCGGTTATGCAACGATCACAATGACACCATGGTGTGTTTATACACTGCTACATGGACGTCAGACATTGCGCAATGTTCAGCGTGACAGGACTATCTGGCATCGCTAATGTTTGTACGATAGGTTACTCTGTCAGAGATGACACCTTTGATGTGTCGTCTTGGTATTCTTATCCAAACATCGGTACTCGGTAGGCATTCGATTTGCAACTATGTAGTGAGCATGGGGTTTTCTGCATCGGCCTTCTCTGTAGGGGAAATTTCGGTTGACCCTCAGAAGGCAGTAGTTTACCCTCGTCCAAAGTTCTAATTATCATCGCCGACCTCGACCACTATCGAACGTCGTTGGTCATGCTACCTCAACTAAACGGACCCAACCTGCTGGGGGCGGCCCACAGGCTATAGAACCGCTCCAAACTCAGCCAGGTCACGTCTGACCGATCACGAACCACCGATCACGGTAACGAGTTGTCGCGTCTCGGAGCAGCTCCACCGTCCCGTGAGTCCCATGTACAGAGTCTCAGACCAGTTTCGGTGTCTCGTGAGTCCTGAGCTAGCACCGTGAACCTGGATCACGTTTCAGGTGACCTACGCTGGCTCTGACATTGCCACGTAACCCCGTCTTTGATCAGGGAGACTGGCGGCGGTGTCGACGGCGGCGGGGGGGGGGGCTGCGATGGTGGGGGTGGCTGAGGAGGTGGCGGCGGTGGTGCTGTCGTTTCCGGTGTCTCCGGGCGCCGGTTCAGGTCGGTGGCGCGCGCCGGGCCGCACGGGCGCATTAAATATGCGCGGCTCGTCGCGTCTCCTTTGATCATGCCGCTCTGTGGTGGCACGGGAGGCGTGCGCCGGGTCACGGCAGCAGCCAACCATCACGGAACTGGTGAACCGAGTGCCGTACGAAACACACGCACACACACACAAACGCATAAATATACAAACATAAGTTAATTGAAGTAAAATGAGGTAGAAGCTACATTAATGAAAAATGCGAGAGTTACTTAATCCAATAAAAACGAGTTGATGTGCCGTCAATCCTCGGAAACTGAACTGAAAAAAAAACTATGATATTGGCAATGCACCAACATGATCTCAGCCCCTTAGAATATCTTTCTCAGTTTGTATTTCTCGTTCATTGCATTTTCTTGTCTTCAAGCATCTCCACAGTCCACGCATCTGCTGCCGAGAATTCGTCATCTGCACACCTATGCCACCGCCAGTCCACTCTCTAGAACGCTAAAAGGGCGGCAGGCCGGCCGCCGCACCGGTGCGCGCCGAAGCCCTGAAGCCGGCCAAATGCGGCGCGAGTCGCTCTAATTAGCATATCTCAGGGCCTGTCCGGTTAATTTGCGGCGTAAATCCACCGGGGTCGCGCCGCGCCGCGTCGCCGCGCTGCTGAGGGGCTTCCATTGTCGCCTGCGGGCCAGTCCGTCTGCGCCGACCATCGCGACCGACGACCCCGGTCGAGTCCACTGAACGACACATAGACTGGTCGACCGCCACGTCCGACCATTCCGACAGTCTGACCGTGCGATGGTCTGGCCGCTCGGGGAACTGATCGTTCGACCCGTCCTTCTTTTCCTCTGACCGTCTAACCATTTGACCGACCGACAGACCACCTGGCCGTATGACCACTGACTGTCCGCGTACTCTGACCATTCAACATTTCGACCATTTTCCCGTCCCACCGTACAACCGACCCACTCTCTGTTAGACCATCTTACCGTCACCTTTTCCAACCATCCGATTTCATATTGTCCACGGCATTGTCATTGGAAATTGAAATGGACGGAATCGTCATTGTGTTTCACGGACTTTGTTACCATGGAGAAACTATGCACTCGTAGGCATGCCAAGTGATGTGTGACTGACAACCTTAGCAGCGGCTGATAATAAATAAATTTTGTTCAGCGCGTCTACAACACCAGTGAACCCATCGAAACAGTCTGTGGATGGTAAGTTAACACGAAAGCCGGTGCTGAGTGCAAGGAGGCGCCGAGGAAGTCGTTGAATTTCGTTCAGCATGAGTTCACATGAATAGCTGATGATGTAAACATCGCGCCTCATTGTTTATTCTATCACCATTAACCGTTTATGATCTCACGACTCTGAAGATCGATGCCGCTGCGATGGCCACAGTTAAGTTGATTTCTAACTTTAGCTATGTCATTGTTCAGCAATGTCCAAAGTGCCAATGAACACTCGCTTTGTACGACAAGTGTTGCATTCTGTCTGTACTGTTAGTTACTTACTTAGTAATTTTGTATGCTGAGTGCAAGGAGGCGCCGAGGAAGTCGTTGAATTTCGTTCAGCATGAGTTCACATGAATAGCTGATGATTACAAAATTGTTAGTTACTTACAAAATTACTTTGTAGTTCATAGAAATGCCTAGGCTGGATAAACACCCCAGTCTAGAGGCCAGAAGTCAAAACACATAATTAAATGGATAGGTGCATATACATAGCTCCTCGTGAATGTCCAGTAAACTTGATTAAATGTAAGAATTAATGTCGTACACATAACGACATAACAAAAAGAAATTAAGTTCAATCGGATTATTAAAAATGAAATTAGTGGAAACGATCAAAATGTAAAACGATGACGCGCTTTTGCTGCGAGTTCATAAAGAGTTCGGAAAAGGTCCAAGGCTCAAAAGATGTTTGGTGTCTTTTGTATCCACCTGCACTTCACGACTTATTCGAAACGCGTTGATTCGTATCCGGTGGTGTGGTTCCATGCTGCACCTCCGCATGCTGCACCATTTAGTTTTATTATTTTTGTTTAATCACGTGTTGTTTTGGTACTGTGAGAGCGTTTGCCCTGCACCGGCTGTTTCCGATCGCACAGTTTCCAATATTGAAGTTGCCGGCTGGATCGTTGCACTGCGCTGCTAACTGACTGTTCGATCGCTGGGCTTGAGTCTGTACGGCGCACACGCACACCAGTGCGTCGACTGGTGCCAATTGCTGCGTCGGTATCGATTGTGCAGCGCCGTGTGCCTGTCTGTCGCAGCAGTCGCTGCACGGCGTCGGTCTCAGCACTGGCCCGACGAGTCCAAGTCAGACGGTACAGTCCGACGGTGCCGCGCGGAGGCCACGGCTTCCGTCATTTTCTTACGGCAGCGGAGCTCATATCTCCTTAAGGTCGCCGTCCACTGGTTAGGCGCGCTTTCAGCGCCTAATCGTTTAGGCGCTGAATACCATTTTCGGCGCCTAATTTAACGATGACTATGCGATGAATTTGATTTCATCGGGATCCGCCATGATAGCTCAAGGACAATTCGATAAAAAATGCATGAAAATGTAATATAATTTGTGGTAATGCACATCACTGACAGATAAATAATAATTATTTATATAATTAATTGCGCCTTTGACCGTGGTTTAATTTGTGTCAGTTTCTTATATGAACCGTAAAAGGTTCATTAAATTGTTCTTGAAGACAATACAATCTCTTAGCAGGGACGGAAATGTAAACAACGTTTGTTATTGTTCTCACATCAGCTAAAAGTCCGTCATTATTCAATTAACTATTCACGACATGGAGCTAAACATCGCACGAATCGCACTAAGCACGACTCGAATCCGGGTGGAGCAGGAGCGCCGTCGAGCCCGACGCAGGTACTGGGTTGCCGAAGTGCTGCAGAGGCGACAAGCCCGAGGCGAGTTTTTTAACTTGGTGCAGGAGCTGCGTGCCGTGGATCCCGACCGGCACCATGCCTACTTCCGCATGAGTCGGGAGACCTTCGACCTGCTTCTCGCCAAGATCGGGCCCAGCATCACGCGCCAGCGCACCAACTTCCGCGAACCTATCGACCCCGCTCAGCGCCTGGCCGTGACGCTGCGGTACCTGGCCTCCGGCATGGAGTTTTCTGCGCTGGCACCCTGCTATCGCCTCGGCGAGAAAACCGTGCGTGCCATCGTGTACGACACATGCGCGGCCATCATCGCCATACTGGGACCGGAGGTGCTTCCAGCTCCCACCAGGGCGACGTGGGAGCGAAGCGAGGAGATCTTCCGCACCCAGTGGAATTTCCCGAACTGCGTGGCCGCGTTGGACGGGAAGCATGTGGTACTCCAAGCCCCTTCCAACTCTGGCAGCGAGTACTATAACTACAAAAAGTCCTTCAGCATCGTCCTCCTGGCAGCCGTGGACGGTGCCTATCGGTTCGTGTACACGTCAGTGGGAAGCGCCGGAAGAGAGTCGGATGGGGGCATTTTTAGGAGGAGTGACCTAGCCGCCAAACTGCAAGACGGCACTCTCGACCTGCCCCCTCCCAAGGCGATCGATCAGAGAGGCACGACCCTACCAAGCGTCATCGTCGCCGATGAAGCTTTCCCGCTGACGGTGCACATGATGCGGCCCTATCCCGGACGTACCGAGAGCCGGCTGGGAGCTCCGGCCACCATCTTCAACTACCGGCTGTCGCGCGCCCGACGGGTAGTGGAGAACGCGTTCGGGATTCTCTCCCAGACGTGGCGCATCTTCCGGCGTCCGCTGAACGTCAATCCTGAGCACGCCTGCACTATTGTCAGGACGGCGTGCATCCTGCACAACTACGTGCGCGACCAAGGACAGGCGGACAGCCAGCAGCCGCAGCAGGCCGACGCCAGCGGCGAGCAGGTGGGCGGACTCTGCGAGCTGGGCAGGCTGGGCGCCAACAACTTCACTCGGGAGGCCGAGCGCATCCGCGACCAGTTCGCCCGGTACTTCATGGCCGAGGGAGCCGTCCCCTGGCAGGATGCTGCTGTCGGGCAGTGAGGGCGTGTAAGCCTGTCACTTCGTGGCTGGGGAGCCGTTCCGCAGCAGGCTGCTTCTGTCGGCAAGTGAGAGGTGCGAGAGGCGGGAATTGAGTCGTCTTTGACGCCACTGGTGTTGCTCCGTGTGATAATGCTGTTTCATTTGTCACGCTCAAAAACCTGTCATATAAATACAAGCATTTACGGCCTTTGTCGTTTATTGCACGCGAAAGTAGTGGAAATAAATAACATTAACTGTCGCCCTTTCCAACAACCAAAGTCAGATAACCACGTAACGTCCAACTTCAACTTCACAGCAAAGGAGCTCAAACATTTAAACACCAGGTAAACGAATTCACTCCTAAATCAAAACTTGAAAAAGGGTCGCTATAGCGATCAGACAGCGGAAATACACACTACGCAGAATATGACTCAGGCTCAGCAAAGTTCGCCATGGTGGAGGTTGCATGGAGAGGGGACGCATTTGGCCGCATCACATTATCTCAGAATCAAAGGAAGCTGGAAAGACGCCGAACAGGCATTATATAGCTCGCTATAAGCAGACATGTGCATGGATCCGGGAAAATGGATCTGAAATTCGATCCCATGAATCTAGATCTGGGATCCACCCGGATCATAGATCCAACCCCTCAACTTTGTCGAGAGATCCACTCAGATCATAGATCCAACCCCTCAACTGTGTCGAGAGATCCACTCAGATCATAGATCTTACCCATAAGCTCGAGAGATCCGCTCAGATCATAGATCCACCTCTCGGATCCATGCACATGTCTGGCTATAAGATCGTTTTGAATCATTCTGGTCATTTTTTATCAAATATGTGTGAAAAACGTCCCCCCTCCCCCACCCGTGCGAAGGTTATCACCTGCTTTTAATCGGACTGCGCCCTTTTCAAGACTGTAAGAATCTCCAGTCTCGCATCCGCTTTCTTGTCGTCCCTCACACGCTCCATCTCCAACCCCACCAGCTGACCAAATAGTAGGTCCGGGTTACGGAGGTCGCTCACCGCGCGTTCTATGGACGCTATGGCGGCGTCAAGCTTCTCGGCGCCACGAGCACCCGGCCCCCTGACCTGCTTGACTTGGCCGTTGGTGCCAGAAGAGCGCGGATGGCTCGGGCCGGCGACACAGCTCGCTGCTGGTGGCACCGCGGACACCCGAGGCGTTCCGAGGAGCGTCGCAGCTGGGAGGACTCCTGAGGCACAGCTCGCTGCTGGTGGCAACCAGGACACCACAGTTAGATCATCGTGGCTTACAGACGAGCAGTTAAAATACACGCCGTCCTAGGCTCAGATCGATGTATGACTGGCTTACAGGCACTGATAGACACTAGAGTCCTCGTTTGTTACGTTGTTGTCAAATGACGAGGTTATGCTTTTCGGAGTCCTAATGACGAATTTCATGTAAGTTTTGATTTAAGATTATGTCTTTATGCGTTTGGGGTAGGTCAAGTCAGGTCAGTTTAACCAGATGGCGCCATGTCGGCTATCCGTAGTTACAGGTGTCAACCACCAGTGGCAGTTTCGTATTATGCTATGATGGCTGCATACCATTTGAACAAACTCACCAGCACTGTCGTCTGGTAGTTGAGTCTCGCTGCTGTCCTCATCAGACACACAAAGCTGAAACACATGATGATTACGTGAGTGAAGATTGATGCGAGATATTTGATAGGTCACCAAAAATGGTTAGAAAATGAAATTCGGCCAATTGCAAGGTTCGTTTGGATGTTGACTACGACCGAATTCTTCCGAACACCCTAGACCGAATTCTTCCGAATTTAACATTTTTGAAAAACGCCCCGAAAATCACGATTAAACAGCCGCAATAACACTAATTAGCATTGGATCTCTTTTGACCCCTGTACTTAACCTTCGCCCGAGTGCCCGTGTTTTGGCCACACTTGCCAGTTTTGTTTGCGCGCTTCAAGAAAACCGCGGCGCGCAGCGCCGCGAAACATGGTATAGCATATGATACATCAATTTCGCATCGTTTTTGAAAATTTTGACCCCAGGTCACGTAAGTTCCTTTTCAAATCTTAGTGATTAATCTGCGCCCTGCTGCTGGTTTTTTGCGAGTATATCAAAAACGTATCTCGGTTACTTTTATAAAACTTACAAAAACCTTTATTTGGGAGCTGAATTCCAATCAGGAATACATTTGGGCATTTCGAATTTCGACCGGCTTTGAAAACTGGTCCAGTAGTCTCGTAAATAACAGGGCAGAGACCCTCTTACTAGCTCCTCTACAGGGCGGAGTCTGGGAATAACAATGGGCCTGAGGAGGCGATTGTTAAGGTGCATGATGACCAAAAGGTTTTAAATGAAACTTGGCAACACTGTTCGTTAAAAACAAATGAACAAACAAACAAGAAAAAAACAATCAATGTAAACAGCTAGAACAGGCCTGTTGCATGTCACGGCATTGCTTTATTAATTTCCAACGAAATCACTGCATTGAAAGGAGTCATGAAACGCCCAAGATCGGATATGGATCATCATTTAGAGTGACCCAGAAATCACTTTACACACCTCATTGGAGTATTGGTTTGTGTAGTAGAATAAGGATTGCGATCCTGTTCCAGGCTGCGTCAAGTTTGTCGTTACCCTGCATAGGAAAGGAAGGAACGTAGCATTTGATACATGACAGGAATACAACAGGTTTTCTAATGGAAAAGTGATATGGACTGGGAGGGGTAAAAAAAAACTCAGAAGTCAGCACAGCAACTAATTAATACGACAGTGAAGCTTATTGCTTATGCTTATTGCTCCAGTAATGGAGCACTACTGGGCAATGTGCAAGATCTGTGCTACTGGAATACAACATTTTTGAAAAAAGACTTTTCATCTCTATGTCCTAATGCAAAGATCCAGGACGTGCACTAAAATCCAGGACATACATCCTACTGCAGTTAACTTACGGTTTAGGCTTGATGGCATCATCCAAAAATGACATTTCCTTTTGCCAGGAGGAGTTCTCTGGTGGCGGGCAGCCAGAGCCACTTGGCAATTGCCTGCGTTTGCGTAGGTGGTAGTCACGCAGACTTTTCCATTTCGATTTTGCATCCTGAACTGAAAAGCAGGGAATAAAATTGGTGAGAGCCTTGAAAATTTATTTTGTCAAGCGACATGTGTTTGTTACCTGAGAGACATCACAATTATACAAGCACCACGGATGTGTAAGGGTTCGCATTTTAAAGCTTAGAACCCAATTCTAAAAACGTGGCAGAGCCTGTGGCTGTTGGCACCATTTACAACACGTACAAGCAAAATATGATGCGTAAGTTTTACCTGATCTCCCAGTGGTCTTTGCCACCTCCTCCCATGCTAGCTTCTTCTTATTTCTGTTAAAGTAGTTGCTGTCCTGAGGACGCCAAAGCACGTCATGACGTCTCACGGCTTCAACTAAGGTGGTGTCACTTGTAGAGCTGAAAAATGGGATTGATCATGTCACATTGCTAACAGAGGCCCCTGTACATCCGCGATACACTGCCTGAATCAGGGAACATCAAACAGACCGATTGCAGAAAGCTCGGGAGTATTATGGTACATAGCAGGATACAGGGCTGAGGGCAGGACACAGAAGGCACAAGGCAGACACTGAACTCAGACTGAAAAAATTCATGGTATCATCGACATGTCTGGCGTAACGGGCGGATTGAGCTGAAATTTCGGTGCAGTATCCAGCGTAACTCTGTGCGCCCAAAAATTCTGCCATACGGATGGACAAAGAAATTTTGGCACAAGACACAAGACCTAGGTAACCTTGGCTAACTTCACTCCCTACGCTTTTGAATCATAAACCATGTCGATGATGGGTGTTCATCCAAATGTTCATCCAAAGCCACACAATATCGGCTCATGAAAGCCCGAGACATTCGGCACAGTGTATGGATTTTTTTCAGTCTGGCACAAAACAGGACAATGAAGGTACACCAGGCACAAATATAAAAAACGGCAGTCGTAAAGCAGGCATCACACTTGTTTTTTTTCATTTTGCAACCAAGGAGAGGCGCCGTACCCAGAGATGCTTCCTTATCAAACCAAATCAAACCTAACCAAACCTGACCTAACCTTACCTACGATCTACAACCTAACCTAGAGCGACACTCCTTGGTTGCAAAAAACAAGTGTAACATCTGCTTTACTATTACCAAAAAAAAACTACAACCCTGAAACCAAGCTACATCCTAACCAAAATTATGGAAAACACCTGTCCCTAAAAAAAACTTTGCTATGGTTTTGGGACTGAGGGTTCATTTCAACCAAAAATGCACAGATTTGCATGGCTTACATTTAATCGTGTAGCAAAAAATGGTCATTTTGTAGCATGTGCAGCAGTTTGAGTTCAGTTGGGCAAACTAGGCGGCGGGAATCAAAATATGGAGGCATCAAAATATTGATTCTAGTGGGCGGAGCTTTGACCATATATGGGCATACGTGCAGACCATCACAGAAACGTCAATTCTTCAGCAACCGGCTACAATTTCAAGATAGTTTCTTCACAAAATGAAGAGCAACGTTGAAGCTGCCCACCAGGCACGAAACAATAGCCCTAACCTCTTTGGTTAGTTTTGGAAAGTGTCTTGAAAATAATCAAGATATTGATTCATCACGGCGGCTAATCCCGGCGAGAATCAATATTTTGATTCTGCAAACAGCTGGCTAATCATTATTTTGATTCTGAAATCAGCTGGTTTATCAATATATTGATTCTGCGAACTGACTTTCTGCAGACGTACTTCACCCTTTAAATTGATTTATGGGATGTTTCTTGTGTGCAAATAATGCAAATTCAATAAATTCATTAAGATATTATCAGCACAGGATCGTGTAATTTTTTTCTAGACCTTATTCCCACGGTAGACCAGGGATTTTCAGCACTCACCCTGGCTCCCTGCTCAAAGCTGCAAGCCTTCGAGGGAATGCGTGAAGGGAGCCGTGCTGACCTTTGTATAGGGGTTGTACTGAGTCGGAGCCGGAACCGAAGCCCGACCATTTTACTCGGAGCCGGAGCCGGAGCTGGAGCCGATTTTTTCCTCCGGAGCCGAAGCCGTCTGACATTTTCACGGCTCCACATCCCTGCTTTGTAGCATTGATTTTGAGTAAAAAAAAGTTAACTTATCGTCTTTCACGTGTTCATGAATGTGTTTCTACGCATCTGTATCCCGTCCCATTTCTGTGGAGTACAGTAGGAGATATTTCGCCGAACAATATACTCAAGCCCGTTGCACAAATTGCACAATTTGAATGAAAATATGATACACGGATGTATTTGCATTCGCAAATAATACGATGATATTCATAACACATTTCACAACGATCCCTGCAATTGCCACATATTTGCCATCACAAAGCCCTGTCGTTGATGCTCACATCCCATGCAAAGCAATACTCACTTTTAGGACACGTCTCTTATTCAATATGGCTACGTATTTGCAAAACATGCAGTTAATAATATTTGAAACTGAGACCTAACCAATAAGACATACCGCGGACAGGTGAGAAAAAAACAAATAAACGTCTGGAGAATGACCTCAACGTCTCGATGTTGCCTAATTACAAACAGCAATTTTCGGTTTCGAATCAAATACATGAAATAAATATAAACAAAATTTGTACAGATACACTCAATATAGGGTTTATGATTAGCACGGCTACCTAAAACATCAATCCTGTCAGGTTGAGCCACTTATGTCCACACCCAAAGCAGGTCGCTTTGGAACACCACAAGATCCCATATTACCACCGAAAACGGTCACCAATTGGTCTACTGATCAGCATCTTCAGAACATTCTCGACCGAAAAGCTATCAGTCCTGTCTGTGTTTTGGTTCGCTTCATCTGGGCTATGCGCACGTTTTTCTACTCCGGTTCTAGGGACGAGATAGCAGTCATCACGCGCTGCACCAGCTCGTTCTTTGACAGGTTGGTGACGCTGTCGTCATCCGGCAGGATAAACACGTGGCGCATTTCACCCTCGGCCCCGCCAGCCACATACACACTTCCTTACGTCATATTGTTTCTCGCCACGAGATCAAAGTTCAAAAGGTCGTGATGTAGGTAGTCTCCGCCCAGCCCGAGTCAGGTACTCCGCCGGTTGGTCGGGTGCGGCCAGGTCCGCGCAACGCCGCCCTACTTCAGTCGACGCTCTGGTTGACAGGGATGGCGTCATACAGTTGCCTGTCGACTAAACAGCGATTCAAGACGCCATCCTTGGCCCTCTGAAGCCGATCCCCGCAACGACCAGTGTTTGATCCTTGGTTGACCTGCAGCAAACAACAGAACACAATAATTAGGACATTTGTGGACAATAAATTAGGAAACTATATGTGTTATTATTCCCCTTGTTCAGCAACTATTAATTTTAGAATGTATTTAATAAAAAATTAAATACTTAATGTCACTTAAATTTCCACTGAACGCCACCAGGTGCGCCAACAACTGTCATCTCATGCAATTATATAAATTCTGCCAAAAAAGTAGATCTGAGGCCAGTTGTACCAACAGAAAAATAGGTGACTGCTGGATTTTTTTTTTTTGTTTAAAAGTTACTTCACATACAGAGCATGAACGGTACAGCCCTATCCTTTTACGTGCCCATCATGTTAACGCTCCATATGTGAAACAGTCTTAAGGCAAAAAATTTCAGCAGGCAGCTATTTGTGTTGATAAAACTGGCCTCTAAAATTAACTTTGGCATGGACAATCCTGAAAATTAACTATCCAGCATTCCCTGGACTGCCGTACATTAGACACATAATTTTCTTGAAGATCACGCATAATGTAAATATGGCTTACACCATTCAGCAACTTGCTTTTGTTACACTTAAAGTAAGCATCATTAAATATGTAGCAAAAATCGGCGAAGCAATTACAAGCCAAGCATACATACCTACTATTTAGATAAGGCAAACACGAACATGCACTACGACCTTTCAATCTTGACTCGGAACAAGTCAATAACCTAGTTGCCATTAAAAATTTAAATGCTACAAATTAAAGTTGTAGCAACAATTGGGTGAGTGAGACACAAGCAGAGGCTAAAACATCCAAATTATGTAAAATACTGGACATGCACTGCCCCCATTTCATGAGTCCACCCAACAATTCTATCAGGTGAGACAAAACATTAGGCTTCTTGTACCTAATTATACCGTAACTTTTAAAGGACATCATATTTCACTGAAATACTACACCTAAGACATCATTTTCAAAAAAATATAGCTTAAAAAGACAATAGAAGAGTGAGAAGGCGTCCCGCGCCGCTGACGTCGCTACCGCGCCATGTTCCTAAAACCATCTCTTAAAACGAGTTTTCGGTAAGAAACGTTAAGATCACATGCCTGAAATTGAAAAACACACTTCAAAGTATCTTAAAATATGATCCATTGTTACTTACACGTCAGAAAAGGTCGCTTAGACAAAATAAAACCGGGAGCACTACGTTGCATCCACACACCCACGACGCCGGCGCGAAATGGCGGGAACCGGAAATCGTGGCTAGATACAAAGAAAAAGAATATTTCTTATAAATGAATTATACAACTAAATAACGCATTTTTTATTTTCTTTTAGACAAAATTATGAAAAAAATACAAAGGCTCGTCGTTAATGATAAACAGAGCAAGTTTTATCAGCACGTTTTTGTTGAATTATGGCGGCGAAATCTTTATGCCATTCGTAAAGGTACGCGCGACAAACGGCTGATAGCCATGCAGCGAAAAATTGAAGCGGGAAGTTTTTTGTTTTGACTTGTCAAAAAATCTCGCCGTCATGGGGGTTATTTCCGCCGTAACGGGTCGTCTGAAGGTGGGAATGTCCCAAATTGAATCAAAATATTGATTCTATGCCCATATATGGTCAAAGCTCCGCCCACTAGAATCAATATTTTGATGCCTCCATATTTTGATTCCCGCCGCCTAGTTTGCCCAACTGAGTTGCTGCGTTGCGGAAACAAAGTTTCTTAAGGATCTAGACTCCCGCTTCCCCCTGCACCAGTACCCTTATATGAAACAAACTTCAAAAGGAGATGGAAAATGCTAGCTACATATATGCAGCATTCAAAATATCTTGATCTCACTTTAGAAAAAGTAGGTAGGTCAAGCATCCACAAAACCAAACATATTAAACATATCAGGCTTGAAATGCCTTATAAACATATATTTTCAAGGAAGAAAAACTATTATCACGAAACTCATCTAATATATGGCAAAGTTTTATTTGTAATTAATGCATATTTATGCTTAGGAAAAGAGGAAGATTGGATTTCATTGCACCTGACCTACCTTACCAGCTCATTTAATGCTATTCTGGAGATGTAGGAAGATGATGAAACACAGAACACACACACTGCCACACTCAAAATATTAGCAACACTAACCTCATCTCAAAAATGCTTTTCAAATGTTTTAAATATCAACAAAACACCCGATTGATGATAAAAACGCCGCGGCGTATGCGCGTCAAGGACGCGCTGAAAAGTTGGAATATTTCAACTCGTGAGCGTCGAATACGCGAGTAATTCAGCGCCGACCAGCCGATGAATAATCAGCTGACAACGCTTCATCGTGCTTTAGGCGCTGAAACTGCATTCGGCGCGCAACCCATAGACTCCAATGTTAAATTCAGCGCGTAAATGTGCGCGCCTAACCAGTGGACGGCGGCCTTTAGGCATCACTAGTCGGCCAAGGAGTCTCTAGCAGGTAGCTCTGTATGCATATGTATAATGCACCATGCCAACTATCAGGTATTCGTCTCCTTAGCGTACTGCTTCAACCACGGGGATAAAAGCTCTACCGACCTTGGCATCTAACCAACATGGCTTCAGACTTCCCAGCTTTGCCATCTAGCCCACACCTCCTTTCGTACCGGCCCTTTGGTCTATCCCACCGCTCCTTACGGCGCCGGCCGCTAACGGTTCGAGTCGGCCGAAAATTAGTATGCAGTTGGACTGCCGAGTTAACGCGGCGTACTTACAGTAACGGCCTGCATGGCTGCTCGGAGATCGGTCTTGACTGACGCCGGCGCCGCTGCTCTCCGGCTCTGTCAGCCCCGAACACCGCGCCGATCGGGCTGTTTTTGCCGAGGGCGCCCCGCCGTGTCCCCGATGTGTCGATAGGGAACTCTACGGCTGGATTGGGGGGAGGGGTGCTGCATCGGGTGCTGTGTTGTCACAACAATGGGGAGGGGTGGGGATGGATAGACGGTGTACTGGTCCTAAATAGTTTGTGCACTGTATGTACATATATCTTTGAATCAGGAGTCTTCTGTTTTCGAATTCTATGTATACCATACGTTGTCCTGGGATGGGCATTTGGCTGTATTATTATTATTTTTTTATAGTCATTTCGACAAAAGCCCCGGTTAGTATGACCTAGACACTATGATCTGGTGGTATCTAGAGGCGCACGGCTGACGGCGGTACAGGTGATTGACTGATCGCCCCTCTGGGCTCTGTGTGTTGCTGAGCCGTGTCGGGTACAGGTGACTGTCTGATCGCCCCTCTGTGTGTTGTTGAGCGGTGTCGCGCGGTGAGCCGTGTTACACGTGTCATCGCTGACTCGAGTTCCGCCCTGTCCAGGGTCCATCGGGAACGGGTCATTGATCAGGGGGCGGCGTTGTCGGACGGGCGGGCCGAGCCTGCTTGGGGCGGGGCTGAAACTGCCAGTCACTGCACGGTGCGTAGCCGACCTGTCACCTGACCTGTGCCTGTGACACTGGCTCTTCGTCACTCTCCGCTCCTCCCCAATGATCGGTGGCCGTGTTGACATGCTGGTGACACGTTGACACGCTGTTGACACGCAGTGTCATCACTTGAAACACCTCTCTGGTATCAATCGCACCTCGACCTCCAGGGCGGCGACTGAAGTCCAGAACCACCCACCGGCCTTCGTCCGCATACAACCCTGACCTGCCCCGAGTCTGGACAATGTCTGTCACGGGTGCAGGAGTGACCACTGCTCGATCCCGGTGGGTGTCTGACCCCGGTCCGTTAGCCGACGGTGGGCCCTGTTGACAGGCCGTCATGAAGGTTGCCACACAATTTGCTAGTGTCGAAGGGTACAGTTGTGGAATAGGGTCGGGGTGATCTGACATACTGCAGACGGTGCTTATCGTTTAACGGTAGCATATCAGCAGCCAGTCCAGCCGTGACCGGTCAAAGTACGGCCCTCCAGGTGGTTGGTTGCCAACATCACAATAATCGATCTGCATTGATGGATGCGTCTAATGGCTGTTGAAAACCATTGCCGAACTGTGTACAAGAACCCTTTCCTCATTTCTATTGAGTCATTTTACAGGAGTGTCTCTGCCATTTAAAGTTATTACACCAAAAGCACATAGTTAGGCTAACCAACCACTCTTTTGCTGGAGGGCCGTACAATGTCATGCAGCTGAACGAGCTCTCCAGTATAAGTAGCCGCGGATGGATGCCCGGTCACTCGCGCTGCCGGCCGCAGTTGGTGAAAACCATTCACCTCTTTGCTCGCTTCGAGCTGTTTACGGGTTTGTGGCTTCAAATTGATCTGTTGTATTCGTGGTGTAACACTTACACCACCGATTACAGCAGCATCCCACGTTTGGTTTCACTCTGCCGTCATGTTCGATTTGTTTGTTATGATTCCGCGGTGGCTCCGTGTCTCACCCAATAGCCTCTCGAAGCGCCGTCATCCACCGTCGTAACACAGCGTCGATGCCACCATTAACCCGCACAACCCGCTAACTGAATTCTAAGTGCGCACTTGAAATTCACGCCCCAGCGGCGAACAAAAGAGCCGACAAAATCTTGTTCAAGTTGTTGTAGGCGAGCAATGGCATCTTTGAGCATCATCATAAGTAGAAAAGTATGTATAAATAACCTTATGCTCATTCTTTGCACTTTTTTGTTGAAATTGAATAATTAAACAAAATCATTGATATATTTCGGCTTGCGCCATCTTCAGAATGTACAGAAACAATTGTCGACACAAACAAACAAAATTCGATTCCATCAATCAATAAATCGTGCAGCGCTTCAATCAGCTCCTTGATGAGAGAATAATTTCATATATACATGGCTCTCGAAATAACAAACGCCTCCGTCGCCTCACCAGTGGCCCCAGGAACCGAGGAGCTGTGGTTTGATTGCCGCAGTGACCCGATGCCACACCTGCATCCGACCTGCAGAGACACTACAGTAACATCTGCGCGTGATACCGTAACGCCTGGAGGTAAGAACTTCCCTCTGCAAAACTCCAACTCCACCCGTGATAACGTAAAACCAGCGATACTTGGCGAGATCACAAGCCTCTTGTCGACCTCCCCAGTAAACGGTTGTTCGAGTCTATTGCCCGGTGGCTGCGTGGGCACTGAACCTCTCGAAAAGTGGTATGATTGCTTGTCAGATGTGATACAGCTGCAGGCTGACCAAAGACTAGCCAGCGACTCAGGGGACGATACAAAAATGTGCGCCTTGCGTGTAGCCCCGGATGCTGACGGGGATATCTGGCATGACTGTCTTGGAGAAAGCGATTTCAATGATATCGACTGTGTGAATAGCACCCGTGACCAAACAGGACCCACCCGCAGAAAGTCTTATCCCTCCAGCACAGCCCCTGATCCATTCAGTAATCGCGATAAGTTTGTTAACATGACCGATAAGATGCTTCCCGACCAGCTGGTAGATTTGCTTAGCAAGGGCCCTAATTTCGCTCTCACACGATCAGTGAACAGGAACGTGATCAAAGAAGTAGAGATCGGCCTTGAGAGGGGTGTTTTTGCCTTGCGTTGGAAAAAGCATATTGAAAAAAGAAAGTCAAACCTGCATCCTAGTGCCAACAGTTCTGAGTCAGATAACGGTACTGTAGCATCAAATACGGATCAGCAAGATGAAGGTGATTCAAATACCCCTGAACCAGACATCGACCTTGACCCAGACCTGACCCAGGGAGCAAAACACAAACTGAAATTGACACCAAAGTTTAGCGACACTGACACTCGGGCGGCACCTTTCGCTGACAGCAGCACAGAGAAGTCATTCAAAGTTCTCAAGCAAAAAGTCATGACCATCTACAAAAATCACAAAACTACATCAGAGCCCAACCATGGGCCTCATGACAGTAAAATGTTAAAACAGCTGGGCGAGGATCCAGATATCATAGTAAAACGTTCAGACAAGTGTAAGAGCCTGGTACTGCTATCAAAAAACGAATACTTACAAAAAGCAGAAAAAATAACCAAAGAATATGAAAGCGTGCCTAAAAATCCTACTACTAAATTGGAAGCTCAAACAAAAAGACTTATCAAAGATACGTTAGCAAACAAGGTACCCGACAAAGTCATCAAAAGCGTAATGCCCTCCGGAAGTCGTACAGCTGAGCTTTATGGTCTCCCAAAAACACATAAGCCAGACGCACCACTCAGACCTATCGTCTCAGCATGCGGAGACCCCCTGGACAAGTTAGCATGGCTTCTGGAAAGGATAATTACGCAGCTACTGACCTTTGTGCCGGCCCATTTGACAAACACAGACGACTATCTAGACAGACTACGGACCCAGTTTCCCCAAGGACTGCCAAAAGATTGTATAGTGTTTTCAGTTGACGTGACCAACCTCTACGGAAATATTCCCACCCACGAGGCAATCACAGCTACCTTGAATCTTATGAACAGACACT